ATGACTGTGAGATGCTGTAATGTCATCACTGCGAGCTAATTGTCAAGTTCTTGAATTGTAATTATGTAATTATGGGAATGTTGTGACAATGCAACTACAAGGATCCTGTGATGACCCAGGGTGGGATACAAAATAAACACAGTCACGAAAACAGGTGAAGCCTCCTTATTCCTTCACTTTGCTTCAAAGTTCCAAATATCCTTGACTGGAGACAAAAAACTCCTCCACAAGCAGTTATGAAAAGGAAGAAATGCCATTTACACTAAAAATGCTTATAAATTATAAGAGTAAAAACAACACAAACCACACTGAAGCAATTAAGGGAACAAGGCAAGATAAGGGCTTGAAGACATCCACAGATATCAGAACACACACTGGGAAGGACGCCAAACTCAGGAACGACAGACTAGAGATATTTCCACGCTTTGTTTCCAGCACTGGCCCATATGCATTTTAACCAGTCCTCACAGCTACAGCCCATGAAGAGGATCAAGGCCCTTTCCTCCCCAGTAGACCACGTCATTCATGTCTCTCCCTCATCCTGTCCTCCCTGCGTGCCCTAGGATGGAGAGGGGATGGGCCTAGGTCTTTCTCTGACTGCCCAGCCAGCCTCTGCCCTTCCCCAGCCTCCTCCCCAACGTCTAGAGCCACACTTCCACTCTCTGTCGACTGTTCTTCCTCTCCCTCGGAGTCAGTCACCAATAGGGGCATGACAGATCCATTGTAAATCCCTCTTATTCAGCACCTATGTAATGAAGGGTGATTCATTGTGGTCTGGCTGTACAGACAATTTGTCCAAGGACAAGCTACAGTTAATCCTGAACTTATAACATTCATTTAATAGCATTCAGAGTTACAATGGCATTGAAAAAAATGACTTATGACCATTTTTCATATTTACGAACCCATGATCACGTGGTCAAAATTCAGATAAATAGCAACTGACTCATATTTGTGATGATTGCAGTGTTCCGGGGTCCTGTGATCACTTTTTCCCACCTTCTGACAAGCATAGTTAATGGGGAAGTCAGATTCAATTAACAACCATTAACTTAACAACTGCAGTGATTTACTTAACAACTGTGGCAAGAAAGGTCGTAAAATGGGCAAAACTAACTTAGCAAATGTCTTACTTAGAAACAGAAATTTGGGGCTTAATTGTGGTCTTGGACTACCTGTAGTAAGTCAGACCAATTGATCCACCCAGTCTAATTTAGTAATTGTGACTAAAAAGTTCAGTCAGCTTTAGATTAGGGAGATGTCTAAATTTGACTCTGAAAAATATGTACAACTGGTTCAATATCAGCCAGTCTTTGAGCACTGTATGGGTATAAATATTTTTCAGATGAATCCAGCTTTTTTAAAACCATTGAGGGATTCCAGGGCACAGCGTTCATTTGAAGAGTTTCCTTCCTCCATACTTCCTACTCACCAATATCAATGGAATTTTTTCTCCATTGCCTTATCCTTTGAAGAAAATAGTTCAGTTGTGGGAAAACCCCATGATACTGAAATTACTTTTGCCATTATAAGTTTAATTGCTATAATTAAAAAATGCTGATCTGTCTGACTATTTCAACTACTAAATTATTATTTGGATGAAACATTCTCCATGCATGAAACCTCGAACAAATTATCCCTACTTTTAAAGGGTTCTGAGTGGACTCATTCGTGTTCAGTCAGAACATTAGAAACTTTTGTAAATATTTATACTTTATTTTCAGTACAGGGGCTTTTTTATTTCAAATGATTACATTTGATGAGTAGGGGATTCTGAGTTTGCATGTGTATTTGGTTCTGCTTATGTTCAAACATTAAAAACACAGCTAAGCAATTTTACACCAGAAAAAGTCCCTGATTTAGATATCAACACGTAAGAAGTTATGTATAGCTACTTGGATAGGTGGAATTTGCTTCTCATTTCTCTTTTTATGCATTAGATTTCTCTGCCAAGATTGGTTATTATAATTTCATTATATAGGAAAAGAAGTGAACTTTTAATTATCTTTATATGATAATTTTTTTTAAAAAAAAGTGTAATTTATTAAAAAAATATAGAGATTATGTAGTTAAAGAAAAAAAGCTAAATATGTTCTACTGATAAAACTGGATTAATATGATAACTGTGACACATAAATGTGATCCCACCAAATGGTTCATTTGATTGTTGTCGCCGGGGTATGGGGGGGGTGCTGCTCATTTTTTATTGTTTTTATATTGGGATTTTACATTTGTAAACCACCTGGAGTCACTAAGAGTGAGTTGGGCAGCCATATCAATTTTCATGAATAAATAAATACTTACCTACTACCTACCTACCTACCTCAGGCTAGCACTTAGAGAGTACCCAACAAGGACCTGGAAGTAATATCCAGATGCCAGAATATCTCTATATCTACAAAGTTCAAGCTCATGCAGGAAATTGTTTTCCCTGAACACTTCACAAAATCAAAGCTTGGTCTTTGAAAAAGGAGGATAGGATGAGTATTGATACTTTAGAATTCTGGTGTTGGAGAAAAAGATGGATATGTTGAATAGCCAAGAAATAGAACAAATCAATTCAAAAGTTCTCATTGAGGTATTAGTGACTGATACTATAACATCAGTTTCTTTGTGATTTGGGATCAAAATGTAATTGCTTATTGATAAACAGATATGTCTAGCAGCTTTCAGGGAAAGGAAAAGAATGCTTTAGTTCAGGGGTGTCAAACTCAAGGCCCGGGGGCTGGATCTGGCCCATAGGATGCTTAGATCTAGCCTTTGGGGCCTCCCTGAAAACAGCAAAGGACCAGTCCATGGTGCCTCACCCAGCAAAAGCAGAGCTCAAGAGTGTGCGGCTCTCCCAAGCTCCATTTTCGCTGGCAGAGGGTTGCAGGAGACCATCACAGCCGAAAATAGAGCTCACAAGGGCCATGAATGGCACTTGGGAGCCTGTTTTTGCTGGCAGAGAGCTCGGGGCCTTTATAGGCACCCCTGACCTGAGTGGCATCAAGCTGAACACGGCCAAGGTCAAAAACAACCCTGATGTGGCCCTCAATGAAATCGAGTTTGACACCCCTGCTCCAGTTTAATTTATCTAGAGCAGTGGTGGTTAACCTTTTTGGGCTCCTGTGTCAAAAATTGTGAGTGCGCCAGTGCGACCACACTCGCGTGCCTATAATTCAGCCTGAGAAGCCTTGCAGAGGCTTTTTCCAAGCCTCTTGGAGGCCGAAAAAGGCCTCGAACCAACACAAAAAAAATTGCTGTGAGGCATGCATATGCACAGTGAGTTAAGTTTTCCTGCAGCTCACATGCCAATACAAATGGTTCTGCATGCCATAGGTTCGCCATCATGGATCTAGACTATGAAACTTGCTATAATTTCAAAAAAGCTATATACTTGCTTTCTAAATTGGCTCATGCTCAATGACCATTCAGCAGCACTGAAAAAAATGACTTATGAACGTTTTTCACCCTTATAACCCTTGCAGCATCCCCATGGTCATGTGATTAAAATTCGGACGCTTGGTAACTGGTTTATATTTATGATGGTTGCAGTTTCCCAGGGATCACATGGTCACCTTTTGTGACCTTCTGCCAAGCAATGTCACTAGGGAAGCCAGATTCGCTTTACAACCATATTACTAATGTAACAACTGCAATGATTCCTTTAACAATGTGGCCAAAAAGTCATAAAATGGGGCAAAATTCCACTTAACAACAGTCTCACTTAGCAACAGAAAATGTTGGGCTCAATTGTGGTGATAGGTCAAAAACTACCTGTAGCTGAAAATCTGTACCTTAAAGCCAGTCATGAGGTAGCTGCAGTTTAGCAGATATTCTAAACGTTTTAGCGTTTTGAGTTCTCATTAACTTACCTATCTGTGTAAAATATCTAACATTGGGATCTCTCTTAAAATATACATTCATTTTAATAACATAAATCTTTTCCCAAAAATGTAGTGGAACTTTTAAGCACTGAGTTATATCTAGTGAAATTGCATCTGTACATTCAGGCATATTTAATTCAACATATTGTAATATATTTCAAGAAACATGTAAATCCAGGTATTTTATAGAGTTGGTAAAAACTGTAAATCCTAATCTCCTACAGCTACCTGATCCCAAAGGCAACAAATTAGACTTATTCCAATTAATATTACAACCAGAATGTAAAGTCTATTGCTGTGTAATTTCAACAAGTTTTGCTAATGACATTTGCACAATGATCAAGAATAGCCATAATATCATTGCATGTAAGAAATATCTAGATTCTTTTTTCAAAAATAATTTTTATTGAAAGTTTTAAGAGTTTTAAGGACTGATACAAACTAAATTAGAACATTAGAAAGGAGGGGGAAAGACAGAAATGACAGACAAAGGCGAAACTTTAAAATAGAAAGTAGAAAAAAAGAAAAAGATATAAAGGAAGAGACAAAGGTATAAAGAAACAGCTTCAAGTATTTTTCAAAGCAGTAATAAGTAAAATTATATTTTATAAATAATTATAAATTCTATTTAAAATAAAATATTTGTGTCAGAAAATACCTGGGTGAAGAATTTACTTAAGCAGAAATGAAAAAAATACGGTAGAGTTTTTACGTACAGGATAAACTGTAAATCCTCAACTACTTCCAAAATGTATATTGACTGATGATCCGTGGCAAATATGTGGGGAGGAAAGGTTGACAATAAGCAGGCATACAGTAGTGAATATCCCTATTGTTTGCATAGGATGCTTGTGGGAGTCAGTGCCACTGAATTTCTTTCACTGTATATTCTCATGTGTGTGTGTTACTCTGTCGTAATCCACTCTTCTCAAATCTTTTCTTTCCTATTCTCTGCATGGGGGAAAAACACAAG